TTTCCCTTAGCCTTATGAAAAGCACCCTTTGAAAGAAAAGCAAGCATGTCTTCAGGACTGAAAGCTCTCCTCTCCCAGTGACAACCAGCCCCTCTCCCTAACACCCCTTCCCACAGCAGACATACTCCCAGCTTGGGGACTCCATCCTGCTAATGCAAACCTGAACATCAATCTACAAAGAGGTCTAAAGAGATAGATAGCAGCGTAGGCACGGGGTTTGGAAAAGGTCCACTAGCTATCCTTGGCACCAGGCAGAATGGAATTCAGAGGTCCATGCAACGCTGCACAGGGGCTCTCGTGTCGTGCTGGGAGCACAACTGCACAGGAGCTGTGAAATATTGTCTTTTTTTTTTTTCACTAAAGCCATGCATCAAGGTGCCAGTCCATCCAGGGCTCTCCTGCCTTCCCCTTTCCAAGCCCCTGCTGAGTATAAGACAAGCCAACCCCGGCATGCAAAGGATACAGGCACGCAGGCTCTAGTCTGCTGCTTCTGTTAGTAAGTGCATCTTGTTAGTGGATTTATGAGACACACTTAAACCTATAAAAAATAAATAATCCTAATTCTTCATCAGGCTGGCCTAAATAACCTTCAGCCTGACTGGATAAACCACTGCCCACCAGCCCTCAAAACAAGTATAGTTCAAAGTTACATTTCATGTCAAGTCTTGGAAGCAGAACATGAATGTTTCCTACCCAAAGGAATATATGTAAACATAATAACAAGCCTGGTGTGGCAGCAGCTCCTACACAAGGTTTGTACAAATTTAAACAACAGGTAGGAAGTTAAACAACTGAATGGAAAAAGAAGCTCTCTGAATGGAAAAAGAAGCTCTTTCAGCAAGTCAGAAGGTGCTCGTCTGCAGGCAAACAGCTCTGTACGCACAACATGCTGAGAGCAGACCTGTTACCCACATCTCTGCTACTCTGTCATACTGCTGGGAACTGACCTCAGCAACTCCTGCCTTAGGATTCTGCCAGGAGTTCGCCTCCTGGTCTCCCAAAAGGCCCATCAAAAAAGGACCACGTGATGGTTTATGTGGAGATCTGAGTAGCAAGATGGCAAAGGACACCAGATCCTCCCCCCCTCCCTTACTGACTCACAAACTATCTGAGATTTCACAGCTTTGCTTAGTCAGCTTAGTGTCAACACATTCACAGAATGAGAGATGGCTAAACGTCTTGGGATTGCACCCCAAGATTTCAGAGTTCAAAGTCCTCAGCATCTCCTGGTCACCGTGACTGCACACCCAGAGTCATCTTCAAGTTTTCATAAACCACATAGCTGATGCTTACAGCTGGGATCACCTTCATAAAGTTCGGTGCCAGACCCCGGTAGAGACCAAACGCTCCCTCTGTCTTCAGTATGTGTTTAAACAGTCCCCTCATCGTCA